TAGATTGTGTCGTGTACCTTGTTCAAAATCTTTTGAAATATTGAATGGAATTCTTTCAGTATCAATTCGAAGAATATTAGTATAAAATATAAATTCATCTTTTGGATTTGATGATTTGATACAATATGGAAAATGACGATTTTTTCGACGTGAAAATCCTATATGATTTGTATCATTCGATTGATTTTGACGTAGATTATCTTCTAAAATACGAATAGCTAAAATTGAACTTTCATGTTGATATTGTAAGAATTTCAGTATCGATGAAAATGATGCATCAGTACTACTTGCAGGCAAATGACGAATATTCATATTGAACTGTGATGGAATATCATTGAGCCAAATAGAAAAAAATACATCACTAAGGTAAATCAAATCTATTCATCAAAATTATATAATTATATTCAATTTTTTCATAATTCTGTTCACTTACTACGATGATCTTTCAAATAGATTTGTAAATATTGAAGATGTCGTTGAGCATATTCACGTAAGAAAATACTTCCGCAACCAATCCATGAAAAACCAGTATGTAAATTAATTTCATTATCAAAATAAGTCCACATCAAATTTGTATAGAATGTATATGGATCAGTAACAGAATGTAAGACATAGGGATCAGTTCGAAAATCAGCTATGAGGCTCTTCAGAGGGAATGATGTATCCCAATCATCATCAGAATAGAAGCAAGCAATAGTTTTTGCTTGAGCACATGCACGATATTTAGCTTCATCTTTGAGATTCTCTTTTGAATTGATTATACGAATAGAATCTAAGGAATGGTTATTTTTTTCAAATATAGTTTTTCCAAGATTTATGTTTGGATTATTATTCCAAATGATAATTTCTTTGAAAAGATTAGATTCAAGTAAATAATTTACAGCTTTTACGACACTTGCTGATCGTTGCCAATGCAGTAATACAGCAGATAGATCATATTTTTGTTCAAGTTCGATCTCGCGTTTCTTCGATTGAACGAATTCGAAATCACTGAAACCAATGTTGATATAATGACCATAATTATATCGAGCATTACCACTCATAGATTTATTTGGAACATTCGTTGAATTTTGTTTGGCATTTAGCATAAAATGACGCAGTTGAATAAGTAGTAGTGGAAGTAAGAAAATGAATACGATTGCATATTTTCTTCGCATTTTTCTAATATATTCATATATAAATGAGAATAGAATAGATGTGTATGATAAAAACGATCATATGCTTAAAAATGTCTCTTTTTTCGGATATTTATAAAAGAAACACATACTCGAGTAGCGTCGACATAATAAGTTTGCTTAACTATACATACTGAATTTTATTTCCTCTGCCTTTCGATGATTAATATCATTCAGAAAAAATAAATAATATGCTTCGTTCAGGAATCGAACCTATGATGTGATAACTGGTTGTCCGGACCAGTGGTCTAACCATTGAGGGTGTGGGTGTGGGGTGTTGGTGTGGGTGTGTGGGTGTGGGTGTGGGTGTGTGGGTGTGGGTATGAGGTATGGGTGTGGCTGTGGGTGTGTGGGTGTGGGTGTGGGTATGGGGTGTGGCTGGGTGTGGCTGGGTGTGGGTGTGGGGTGTTGGTATGGGTGTGGATGGGGATGTATGCGTGTGGGTATGGAGTGTGGGTGTGGGTATGGGGTATGGGTGTGGCTGGGTGTGGGTGTGGGGTGTGGGTACGGGTGTGGATGTGTGGGTGTGGGTATGGCGTGTGGGTGGGTGTGGGTGGGTGTGGGTGTAGATGTAGATGAGAACAACACCGAAACCCACCCATATTCACCCCCACCTCCACACCCATACCCACGCCCACACTCACACCCCACACGCACACCCCCATCCATGCTCACAGCCACAGCAACACCTGCACTCACCCACACCCATACCCACACACCCTTGGAAGACAAACACTATCATCGGCCAATTGGGATAAATTAATGAGGTAATTTAAATATAGAGAAACGGAACATTAAAGCAGAAAGATAAGAAAAAATAAAGTTCCAGTGATCGTTCGGTTATAAACAGATATAATAATAAATGAATACATAAAGACGATGATAAATAAACAATTATCTCTAAATAAAAATTTATTCTGACTAAAAGCTAAGAATATTGTACCTCATTCTTAAAGAAAGTGTAAACGACTAAAAATCTCGATTATTCGTTCATTAAAAGGATTACCTTATTCTTAAACCATCATTTAAAGACATCGTCGAATGGAATTTAAGAACAACTTAATAAAAAAAACTCCAGTTAGTTGAAACGTTAATGTAACAGCTGGGAGTTTATTTCTCTCTGTAAAATTACAAGTAGGCATAGACATACGTCAATTGCTCATTTTATATAGATGTACATACATTAGTTACGAATATATACATGTAACTAAAAGTGCTCTTCGTGTATGTTACTAAGTCTCTCTTTCGATATAAAATGAATATTAAAAGAAAAATTAGAATGATGCAAAAATCATAAAAACATGTCCAATCAAATACTTGATAATTTTACATATGTATGTAAAGGTCGGTAATAGGGGTGGCACTTTATCTTTACTTTATCAAGTAAAGTAAAGTAATCCTACTTTACTTTACCGGATAAAGTAAAGTTAATCTACTTTACTTTATCGAGTAAAGTAAAGTAGATCTACTTTACCCGAAAAGTAAAGTAAAGTAAAGTGAAGTATCTCTAACTTTATCGAACAAGCAAAATATAGTAAAATAAGATTAAGAAAAGCATGTAGTTGATGGTTATTCATTTCTTAGTTTATTATCATACATTAATCACGCTTTAATATGTCAAAAGTTGTGTGGAATTACGGATGAGAAGCCCCAAATTGTTTAAACCTGATTTTATTACTTTGAAAGTCAGCATCGAACTCTCAATATTCTTCACAATTCTGTATTTCACATGGTCACAACTCAAATTTTGATACTTGAGGTCCCCTTAGGTATTGAAAAAACAATTCTCTGGCTATTCAATCACAAGTCTTTGTAATTCAATAGCATGAAATGTGCAGATTATAAATATCTCATTTATTTTTAGAAAGTACTCAGATAATATGAAAGATCCGAAGCACTTCCTGGTATCATGAAGATCTTTTTTTTGAACAGGTTCATGAAAATCGTATCGAATTCGTTACAGCGAACTTAAAATAAATTTGACTTGACGAAAACTTTCTATTTTAACCACACACTCGTTGAGAAAACCTTTTCGTAACTAGTTTTTATGGAATTTGGAATATTTAACTAGGTAGCAGAAGGATGACTTTGGCGTTAACTCATGCAATCTGCCTGAAACTTTTTATAGGTAGATCAGAGGTGACATTCCATCAATGCTCTACTCAAGCAACTGGTTTGAGTTATGGATAACCCATGGAGACACTAAAGCAGTGAGTACCCGTATCAATCCAACTGAGTTAACATCTCTAACTCGCACATGTTGACTTAGTTCCATGTTTTATTCGCAGATATAACAGTTGTCTAAATTCAAATGGGATTTTTATATTCGAGATCTACAGAATATTAGTCAAGCCAGAGGCAAACGGGATCTTAAGGATGGGGTTTTGAGGCAAAAACGATTTTACAGATTCGAGATTTTCAGTCTAAAATGGTGCCATCAGAAAGAGCACATTCAATTGCACGTTTGGCGAAGCTATTCGACCACTGCAGCTATGGATACTCTAGTTTTGTAGGGCTAAAAACTGTGAGGGATAATATCATCCAATCGAGATAGTATTTGCCATTTATCGTAGAAAAAAAATCAAACATTCAATGGTTTCTTATATTTACTCATCAAGACGTCAATTCTGCAAAAAACGGACTTATTTTCGACAAGATAGAACCATGTTTTAGTGGAATTTCTTGACACTGCTAGTTTTTAAAGGAGTTAGAGTGTTTCCAATCTTTCTTATAGTCTGAGCACTCTTCGAAGGTTATATAGACAGTTGAACCTTCAACATTTCAACGTCAATGTTTGAGTTACACATTTGGGTTCTGGGTGTCTGAATCTTCTAATAATTGAACTTTGGACAGTTGAGCCTCTTTACTTTTGACCCTCCTGCATTTCACTCTTGTCCAGTGAGTAAAATCTCTGCGTGAACTTATTTGAAACCGTTTGGAAAAGTACTCTTGAACCAATTGTAGCAGTGAGTATGCAGGTGTTAGTAAAGCGTGGAGTAGGGATGTACGGAGATGGAGGCTGAATCGAGAATCTTGGTCTCGTTCATTCTCAACCGGGACTGACCGAGACCGAGCCTCTCGGTCTCGATACGTCCCCAGTGTGGGGGTACGGGTAGGTATCGGTAGACGTTAGTGTGAAGAGTGAGGGTGAGTGATAGAAAGAACAACATCCACATCTGTAACCATACTCGTCAGTATTTTATTCAGGAAGTGCCCAAGGGAGCTGCGTTCCCACAAAAATCGAGTTCGCTCTCCGAGACTTGCGGAAGTAACTATGTACTTGCCCTCCTGAAAATAATTTTTCGCTTCCCGAAATTGCAAATCGCTCCTCCGAGGAAACAGACTTGGATAAAATACTGCTACTCATACCCACAATCCACATTCACACCAACATCCCACACCCACAGTTCACATTCACATCGGCATTCACACCCTACGACCGTTTACATCGCACCCTCTAGCTATAATAAATATTTCATGTAGTTAGTGGTTTGACTTGAAATGAGAAGAGGCCCAAAAGGTAACAACTCCGACCGTCAAGACACTGAAATGTCTAGGGCTCTAATGTGTAGACTCAGCTATTGACGCTCAAGGGTTGGAGCCTCAACTGTCTTGCCACTTTCCAAAAATAAATGAGATATTTATAATCTGCACATTTCATGCTATTGAAT